GGCCGCTCCTGAGGAACCCCCGCCCCCCCGGGAACCTGAGCCCCCCGCGGAGGAGCCCACCCTCACCTACCCCCTCGACTTCGAGAAGTTTTGGCAGGCGGCGCGCAACAACCCCCACGACTTCACCGCCTGGACCGAGCTCCTGCAGTATGTGGAGCAAGAGGTCAGTAAAAATCTTCATTAAGACGCAACAGCCCCATTAAAACCTTAATTAAAACATGCTCCAACCCACCAGCCCCATTAAACCCTTCGCTACAATTCACCCCAAGTCTTTGGCCCCATTAAACCTTCAGTAAAGGTTGTCCTGAGTCAGTGGTACTGTTAAAACCATCGTTAAAACTCACCCTGAGTGTATGACTCCACCAAAACCTTCGTTAAAACTCATCCCGAGTCTATGGGTCCACTAAAACCTTTGCTAAAACTCATCCTAGGTTTATGGTCTCACTAAAACTCACCCCAAGTCTATGACTCCGTTAAAACCTTCGTTAAAACTTGCCCTGAGCTGCTGGTCCTGTTAAAACTCATCTCAAGCCACCAGCCTCGTTACAACCCTAATTAAAACTCACCCCAGCACAAGCCACATGGAATCCTCTGCTGCCCAGGGCTGGTTTTCCTCACAACGAAGGCAATTTCTCACATGTAATTATTAATATCAATTAATAAGTAGTTTATTAGAAGACACCTAATACTAAACTGCTGTTGTTCTTGTTACAAAACTGCCTGTTTTCACCCCAAAAACCACCGCAGAACCACCTCTTCGCTGCCCGCAAAGCCTTCGACGCCTTCTTCGCCCACTACCCCTACTGCTATGGGTACTGGAAAAAATACGCTGACATGGAGCGTCGCTTTGACTGCAGCCGGGAGACCGAGGAGGTGCGGTGGGGGGGTCCCTGTGCTGGTTTTGGGGTGTCACCCCCCTGTTTTCCCCTCTTTGGTGGGCAGAGAGGGGATTTGAGGGGTCCCCGGCATCTTTTGGGCATCTCCGCACAGTTTCCATGCTGCTTTTGCTGGCAAAATGGGATTTCCAACCTATTTTGGGGTGTCACCGACTCTTCTCACCCCCTGTTTCCAGCCTCCTTGGCGGCATTTTGGGTTGTTTCACCCTATTTTTTGGCAGGGCATTGGGCACCCCAACCCGTTTGGGATCCCCCGTCCTGTGTGGGGACAGTTGGTGATGCTCGGTGTTGTCCCCCCCGGCAGGTTTTTGAGCGGGGGCTGCAGTCCATCCCCCTCAGCATGGACCTGTGGATCCACTACATCTCCTACCTCCAATCCACCCTGGACATGAATCTTCCTGAATCCATCCAAAAAATCCGTGGGTAAGTGCCAAGCGATGCGGCAAATGGCGTCGGCGATCGCCGCTGCCCGTCCCACTTCCTCGTCTTTCTCCTGTTAGCGTCTTCGAGGCGGCGGTGGCGGCGGCCGGCATGGATTTCCGCTCGGATAAATTGTGGGAACTCTACGTGGAATGGGAACGGGAACAAGGAGACCTGCGTGCCGTCACTGGTATCTACGACCGTGTCCTCTCCATGCCCACGCAGCTCTACAACCATCACTGGGAGAAGTACGTACCCGCTCCGGTGCGAAAAATACCCCCGCGGCGGCAAAAGGTCCCCCATAGGAAAAGATCCATGGTGCCAAAACATCCTGGTGGCGAAGTATCCTTGTGGAAAATAGCCATGGTGGTAAAATAATCTCGTGTGGAAAATAACCATGACAGTAAAATAGCTCTGGGTAAAGTAATACCTGCAGTGGTAAAAGAGTTCCTTACCCGCAGCGATAAAACATCCTCCTTGGAAAATAACACCCGCGGCAGCAAAGTATCCCCATGGAAAACGCCCATGGCAATAAAATACCCCTGCAGAAAATCACGCGGTGACCAAATCCTCACCGTTCCCTGTGCCAGGACCGCCGGGGGTCTTGTGTCCCCCCGTGTCCCCCCCCAATTTGACCCTTGTCCCTCCTCCACCCCAGGTTCAAGGAACACGTTCTCCACAACCCCCCGAAGGACATCTTGTCCCCGGAGGAGCTTCTCTGGGTCCAATCCAAGCTGGCCACCGATCCCGTGCCGAAACCGCCAGAGCCGGAAGGGACGGAAGCGCCGCCGGGAGAGGATCTGCCCCCTGGCGTGGAGGGGAAAGCGGCAGCGACCGACACCCAGGTAAGCACCCGAAGGAGGGTCCTGGGGGTGTGCGTGGGGGTCTTTGGAGACCCCCCCCCATTTCCCACCTGTATCCCATTTAATTCCCAGGAGGATCTAGACCAGGAAAAAATCCGGGAGCTGGTGATCTCCATGCGGCAACAAATCTACGCTCAAAATGAGGCGGAAGTCAGCAAACGCTGGAATTTCGAGGATGGGGTATGAGGATGAGTGTCTGGTGTCCCCCCCGATCCCCCCCTTTCCCCTTCCCAAAACACCGTGACCCCGTTTTCACGTCTGCGCCCCGATTTTTCCCCAATAGATCAAACGTCCCTATTTCCACGTGAAACCGTTGGAAAGGGCTCAGTTACGGAATTGGCGGGATTATTTGGATTATGAAATGGCAGCCGGCTCGCACGAACGCACCATTGTCCTCTTTGAACGTTGCGTCATTGCCTGCGCCCTCTACGAGGAGTTTTGGATCAAGGTGAGACCGCCGCAACGGCCCCCCCATCCCATCCCCGCTCCCTGTTTTCCCACAGCTGGATCCCGTCTTCCCCCCC